TTTCTTACTAGGTGGTTTACTTGTTACTATTCGTTTCCTAATGTTGCTACATTGCAGCACGTGCGACTAAATACGTGTAGAAATATTACAGACGCGTTGAAAATGATCGACCAACAAGTCTTCCATCGTTCTATCACAAAGTCCAGGGCTTGATGGCGTGGAATCCCGCGGGCCTGTATTGAAACCGCATACCCATATATAGGTCGGAGCATAAACTTTGCGGTAATGCGGCTAAGTGATGTGATTTATGACACCAGTTAGTACCCCGGACACCGCAACAGCGGCTGCACACAAACATATGTGTCTTAACCAAATCACGCCCAAACACAAAAAGTATCAATTCTAACACGTATCATCATCTGTTTTATCACCATGGTTACTGACGCTCCAACGGTAACGTACGTTTCGCATTTTGATTTACAAGTTGTAAAAACATCGACATAAAACAATACAAGTACCGCCTGGCAACGTGATTTATTTTACTATGATGTTAAAAAAAGCGGGTCCGCCCCTCAACTGGACCTACAATATATCCCAAGAATGTACCGTGCAATTACTAGACTGGCATAAATCACCTACTAGTATTATTTACTACATGTCAGCGTCCAAATGAACTGTCTTAGCCCGAAACAGTGCGAAATAAAAAAAATATATATTAAAGAAAATGTTGACCTATTTTTGTAAGCATTATATCCTGCTTCCACTGTATTTAATATCACTTATGTAAATGAGTCATTACGTCATACTCTTATGGAATTGACAACGTCGTTATTATGTAAAACTTGGGTTAATACCTTAAACATCACTATTAGACGAATTACAAGTCACATGCAATACAAATAATAGAGATAAAAAGCAAATATAATCCTTCATTTTGAATATTTCTGAAGCAAATTCCGTCAGCAGATTTTAATTTCCGTTTTATTTAATATAAACCTATATTAATATGTATTTTCCTAGAACGCACTTGATGAATACACAAATTATATTTATAGACATTTCTTCTTGATGGGGGGGGGGTGCCTGCAAAGCTTGGCGTCCGTACTATCGTCACGGTGTAGCCAGACCGTAAGAAAAGGATGGGAAAACAAATTGGCATATTCCCAAATCGTAGTGCACAGTCTCGCGTTTAACAAGTACAAATATGCTGCAGGTAAAACAACACTCCAAATAGAATTTCAGACATCGTGGAAGTAGGTATTAGACGTTTGCCGCCGTTCAGTGACAAAAGTTTACTCCGTCTCGGGCATCTTGACGCCGATTCCGCCGGATTGTATAAATTACTAGAAGGGGCAGGCCATTAAACACTCGGATGATAGTAAAACGATTATCTTTCTACTTTTTGTTGCTGTAAATATCTTTTTCTTAGACCTATTTGTGCAGATTTGTTTTTGCTTTATTATTATTTGTAATCAGAATTGTATTCTTTCAATGTGAACCAGGCTATTAGGTGTTCAACCCTGAGGGGATTGTACCTTACCTAAACGTCATTTCAAGGAGACTTGTGTTTCTGATTTATCACAGTTTCATTAAAATCACAAGATGTAGTGGCCGTTTTTAATATACACCTCTATTATTCACATTAAGCATCTCCCTCTGACAGGACTTATCAACCAATTATGCCTCGCCTTACCCGACATGAAAATACGAGACCTGAACGCGACTTGCATAGGTAATTAGCCAGATGTTATTAGAGGCGGCGGCCATATATTAAAAACGACCGGAGCCTGTTTACCACCAGATAGATTTTAGCGCAGCCAGTTCCAATAACGCCAAATTCAATGACATGATGTCAATTATAATAAACGCGTGCTACACACGTGTGTTTCAATTGGTTGAAAATCACCCACGAGCGAAGCCTTCTACTTGTTACGTTTTTGTAGTTAGTTACTTTAGCAACGCATCTCAATTACGAAACGTCACGCCATTCACGATATTTCAGAGGATGGTGCAAGAACTACACGGACGTGGAAAGTTACTTGCTTTATGTATTTTTTTAACAAACAAACAAACAAACAAATCGCGTTTTCTTGTGATGGAGATAAAATAACAACCCATAATCAAGGTTACATCTTCTAGTAACTGTGCCATAATGTTACAATTTAATAAGACAAATCATATATACGATGTATATACAATACGTCAATACGTCAATACGTCAAAAAAAATTTCAAACAAATTGCTTTCCTATTGATCTGACTGTTAGGTCGTAGGTTTGAGTGGCCAATCAGGCTCATTCTTGTAAGTATCCTCGCTTAGATTCTTGTGTAACTATCACCTGGAGTTCGCATACGGCAGCTGCTGGTGGAAGGTTGCAACCAGGTACCACGCGCTCGGCGTCATGATGCAATTCACAGGCGAGTCACATCATGGAGCTGTTCGCTGCGACGCCTGCGTCTCAATTCGCTCCCCTTCCACTTTTGCCAAACCGATACGGTCATGTTACCAAAACAGAATCTGTGAACAGCGGTAGTATCACGGTACGGCATTCGCAGTGCATTTTGGGTATACGAGTACAATGTCCTATCATTGGATACATATGTCTTCAGTCATTACATTGTTCCACGGTTACTAGTAACCGTGATTATTCATAGTTTGTGGGAAACACGTAGGCAGACTAGTTACTCCAATATTGTGGGATCGCCTATTGTCAACAGCCTACATGTTTGAGGCGTATATTATGCCGTATTGTAAGCATATATTTTATTTTATATATATACTTTATTATGTATCTCGACTGTGCAAGGTTTTCTCGTGTCAGTAGCTCACATTCATGGGCTGGTAGTGTATTGCGCCGCTGCTTCATTTATTAAAACGCTTCATACACGACTGTAACTTTTCAAAAGTATAAACGAAAGGAATATTTTACAAACCCACTAGTTTTTAGTTGAAAATTAGATAGTAAGCAATATTTTCACGCTCAGTGCAATTGAGTATTTCAATACATGAAGCTGAACCCGTACCACGCTGATGGCATACTGGTATTCCACTATTTCTTGAATAATAAACTCGTAACATTTCGGGCTTGGTTTTTAAAATATGGGCGTGGTCATTTTTTGTAATTCGATGTCCGTAACTCTAACAATTAAGCATCTCGAAAGCAAAATTTTTTATGGATTTATGGATTTTTTTTTTCTTTTTTAGCAGACTATATTATTTACAGGAATAAAAGTATTTAAATAATCAGCGCAAGACTCATTTTATTTTGAACATTCAACTAGATTAATTATATAGAATTCTCCTTTAAAGCGGGAGGGTCGTCACCTGCGCACGCGCGGGAATTGAGACTCAAGCGACGATAACCCTACACGCTAAGAACGCAAAGGTCATGGGTAGACGCTTGTTTGTAAACAATGACACGCTATGGCCATCTGACGCATGCGCAGGTGACGACTCCTCCGCTTTAAAAGGTATATTTTCAAATAAGTTTGTTATAGGTGACATATAGTCTGCATCCAGTAGCACATATTCTTGCAGTAACACGACTAATTTTCTATGAAATTGCCCATTACGGTAACCATGCTCCTAAATTGAAACAGTAATCCAGATGCGACAATATAAAACAGTTAAAGCAAATTATACGTGTCAATGGATAGGAAGGAATTGATTAACGCGTTTCAACCATATAAGAGAAAATACCCATCTTTATGATAACAACCGAAATGTGATCTGTCCGATTTAAATTTTCAGAAATCTTCACTCCGGGAAGCCCTTCACTGTGAACTAGATAAACGCTTGAGTGTTGCGTTTTTATCCTGTAAGCAGTCAACAAGGATTCACATTTAGATTTATTGGCATACATATTGGCATACATGAACATGTGTCTTCTTTAACTTCTGTTGTACGATGTCTAACCGGTAACAACATAACTACTCTTACACCCAAATTGCATAACATTAGTATACAGATGAACAAATAATTGTCCCAGCATTGAATTTTACTTTCTTCATATCAAAAAAACAGTCAGGAAATAATTCAAATTAGTCAACGCCATCTGGAATCTGAAATCACACCGATATTTAAAATATAAAATAAGAAAATAAAAAAATAAAGTGTAGAAGAGAGATTATCCATGATTATCCGCTATTATTAGACAATAGTGGTCAAATAGATACCTGTCTATAAGAAAATGTGTTTGTGATCTTTCTTAAACAATGGATTAACCCTGGCAGTTATCTATACCTCAGGGAAAACACCTGCGGATATTGACAGATAAAAAATGCATGTCAGACTAGGTGTCAGCTGAGTGACAGCAATCTTTAAAATGTTGGTGAGGCTTATCCCTTCAAACAGTTTCTTTTTTTGATATTAATATTACCCAACATTTTGCATACTTCTACCGGGATATTGTCGGAATCATGATTTCAAAGTCGTTGGCCGTTTTAATGTCATATACGTGAAAAATATTTAGTTTTATACTAAAGCGTTGTGATTGAATGATTCATATATACTGTATACTAACAAATATTGTAAAAAGTGGAACGTCGTATATACTCCAGATGTCAGTAAAGAGTGGTGTGTAGAGAGTAGAACGCTGCACAAATTCTAGGTGTTAGTAGAGTTGCGTATAAAGACGGGAACGCCACGCAGAATCTAGGTGTTAGTGGAGTGAAGTGTAGAGAAGGGAACGCCACGCAGAATCTAGGTTTCAGTGGAGTGACGTGTAGAGAAGGGAACGCCGGAACGCCACGCAGAATCTAGGTGTTAGTAGAGTGACGTATAGAGAAGGGAACGCCACGCAGAGTCAAGGTGTTAGTGGAGTGGCGTATAGAGAAGGGAACACCACGCAGAATCTAGGTGTTAGTGGAGTGGCGTATAGAGAAGGGAACGCCACGTAGAATCTAGGTGTTAGTGGAGTGACGTGTAGAGAAGGGAACGCCACGCAGAATCTATGTGTTAGTGGAGTGACGTGTAGAGAAGGGAACGTCACGCAAAATCTAGGTGTTAGTGGAGTGGCGTATAGAGGAGGGAACGCCACGCAGAATCTATGTGTTAGTGGAATGACGTGTAGAGAAGGGAACGCCACGCAGAATCTAGGTGTTAGTGGAATGACGTGTAGGGAAGGGAACGCCACACAGAATTTAGGTGTTAGTGGAGTGGCGTGTAGAGAAGGGAACACCACGCAGAATCTAGATGTTAGTGGAGTGACGTGTAGGGAAGGGAACGCCACACAGAATTTAGGTGTTAGTGGAGTGGCGTGTAGAGAAGGGAACGCCACGCAGAATCTAGGTGTTAGTGGAGTGACGTGTAGAGAAGGGAACGCCACACAGAATCTAGGTGTTAGTGGAGTGACGTGTAGAGAAGGGAACGCCACGCAGAATCTAGGTGTTAGTGGAGTGGAGTGGCGTATGGAGAAGGGAACACCACGCAGAATCTAGGTTTCAGTGGAGTGACGTGTAGAGAAGGGAACGCCACACAGAATCTAGGTGTTAATGGAGTGACGTGTAGAGAAGGGAACGCCACACAGAGTCTAGGTGTTAGTGGAGTGAAGTGTAGAGAAGGGAACGCCACACAGAATTTAGGTGTTAGTGGAGTGACGTGTAGAGAAGGGAACGCCACGCAGAATCTAGGTGTTAGTGGAGTGGCGTATGGAGAAGGGAACACCACGCAGAATCTAGGTTTCGGTGGAGTGTCGTGTAGAGAAGGGTACGCCACGCAGAATCTAGGTGTCAGTGGAGTGGTGTATGGAGAAGGGAACGCCACGCAGAATCTAGGTGTTAGTGGAGTGACGTGTAGAGAAGGGAACGCCACACAGAATTTAGGTGTTAGTGGAGTGGTGTATGGAGAAGGGAACGCCACGCAGAATCTAGGTGTTAGTGGAGTGACGTGTAGAGAAGGGAACGCCACACAGAATTTAGGTGTTAGTGGAGTGGTGTATGGAGAAGGGAACGCCACGCAGAATCTAGGTGTTAGTGGAGTGACGTGTAGAGAAGGGAACGCCACGCAGAATCTAGGTGTTAGTGGAGTGACGTGTAGGGAAGGGAACGCCACACAGAATCTAGGTGTTAGTAGAGTGGCGTGTAGAGAAGGGAACACCACGCAGAATATAGGTTTCAGTGGAGTGAGTGTAGAGAAGGGAATGCCACACAGAATTTAGGTGTTAGTGGAGTGGTGTATGGAGAAGGGAACGCCACGCAGAATCTAGGTGTTAGTGGAGTGACGTGTAGAGAAGGGAACGCCACACAGAATTTAGGTGTTAGTGGAGTGACGTGTACAGAAGGGAACGCCATGCAAATAATTATTATCAAATAATTACTATGGACGATAACGGAGTTTGACATTAGGAAATTTATTTACTTTTATTCCCTTTAAAACAGCTAAAATGAGCGGAAACTCATAATCGTGATTGAAAAAGTCGGCTGATATTAAACTAGCTTTCTGTGACTCATTGGTTAACAAAAAGTGTCACTGCAATACCAGAAGTACAATGTGAATATTTTTTCGCCCCCCCCCTCCTCGGTCCATGCATCACGTGACGAGGCACTTCCTGGAATGATTCCTTCTTCCTTCCGGTAATCGTATTTCCGTAAATGAGAGATTATAATTAGATATTCCGATGGTCATTGAATTGCGGTTAATATACAGATAGTTTTCATTGTCCTGTTAAGGTAGTTCTATGCCATTAAAACTAACAAACAATTAGATTTCCTTCGTATTTACAATATGTTTTTTTTTATTTCATATTATGCTTTGTGTTATTAACAAATCCGAGATAAAAAAGATCTCTACTTTTTAGACAAAATACTGGTCAAACTTCCATGAAAATTGTGTCTTTTAGCCATTTGTGGCACATTTCATGCGAGACTTTTCGCCATATTGACATCCACGGAGTATCTGTTCATAGATCAAACACAATTAGAATCAGCTTGTGCCAATCTTCTAAACTTCGTGTCTTAATCTGAACATATTCGGCATGAACACACATGTAAATGAAAGGAAAAAAAGTTCATCAATTAGGACAATTATATAATTACTCAAAAATATAGTTGGAAGCCTCGTGTGCTAAGTAGTGAAAACAGATACTATATGAAATCCATTAAAATGAAATCCATTTAAATTACATAATGTTCCAATGGCTAATCAGTGAATAGTACAGAGAATATGCTAGACACATTAATGCGTGTACAGTACTCAATGGTGGTAATCTCATTAATATATTCTAATTTATATCGATGTAACATACTTGCAGTACAATTGTGCGTATGTGTAATGAAAAATAAATATTACGTTATAAAAATATAAACAATTGAGAAAATAAAGATAACTACGTGCACTCCGGATTCTCAGAACCTTTGATATATAGAAATGCTGTTTTCACTTAGTTTTGAGTTTTATTTTTATTTCAAGGATGATGGTGACGTAAAGATATCGTTCTTAGTTGTCGTCTGTCTAGTGCGTCACGTTTGAGATTTGGTTATTTTGTATAGATTTCTGTCACTGACTCCCGTGGTCATAAGATTTGTTTTGTGTGAACCCACTGGTTTTCTACTGGTCAGTCCATAAGTTACAGTGAATTTAGAAATGCTGCGTGTTTAAAATGTCCGTTTAAGTTTTTTTTTTTTTTTGTTTTTTTACAACGATGTACTGAGTGAGTTTTACTGTTCAGTAGAAGTAACGTTAATCAGGTAATAAATAAATTAATAGGGTTCTGTCAAAACCGAGAAATCAAGTGAAAGCTACAAAAGGGTCCAACGGGTAGTGACTTGGAATTAAGGAACATTGTGATCGAATTTGCCGGATAACAAATACCCGTTTGCATGATTACTTTGAGAAGAGAAAGTTTGTGCAGTCTAAAAAAATTAATATAACGTAAAACAAGCGCAGGGAGATTAAAATGCCAATTTGGACGAGTTACTGTAAAAGGATTTATTATTCACCGGGTTTCAATTTAGCTTATTTCGCTGACTGGAAAATGCGCTAAATTAAAACCCAGTGAATATGTAAAATTTAGCATAGAACACATCTAAATTATAAAACTGTGAATTTAAAACCCACTGAATATGCCTGAAATGGTAAATCAGTGAAATTTAAACCCAGTGAAAATTAGTCATTTTACAGTGATAACGAATAAGTTGTTTTCGTAATTAATACGCAATTTCTAGTAATATATTTCTTCAAGTTGAGATGCATTCGTCTGCATATTTCACACATGCTCATTGAATCTAATAATCTGACAACATTTTGCAGAAAATCGATGAGTAAGCACGTGGTATGTTAAACCACATTACATAGTAATTACTAAGTATTCATGATCAGTAGCGCTGCGGATAAATGTTCATAGTTGATCTATTGAAAGCGATATGGGCGAAGCTTGCGTGAGCGGCGACAAGTTTGAATTTCCTTCCTAGGCTGTTCATCGACAAAACCAAACAGACAAGTGATCTATCTATCGCGGTCCGCCAGCAACGCAACACGACGTGTGTTCTGTCGCTCGGAACATCTGCCGTTTTCATTTCTGAAAAATTAGTGTAAACAAAAAATCATTCATAAAAAATAATAATAGCAAATCACAACTGGAGTCAGATGTGTTAAATGTGGTCATCACTGAGACGAGATTAGAACTGTAGTCAAATTTATGGTTCATCTTTAGAATGTTTTGTTCATGTGGGTAGAAAACCGTGACATCAATACAGAGGGTGTTATGGTTGTTTGTACAATGGACCGTGGATCGTGTGTCACACATCTACATACGTATTTTCTCGTGTGTGAATTGATATCAGAGTATCCGAATGTGTTGGCGTTTAGGAACGTCAGTATATGCTGTGTTGTGGGCTGTATGTACAAGGGGAAAGCCGTGGGCGAAAGCCGTTACAGTCGATTTCACGAATACGTTTCAGAACGTGCAATGACACACGAAGTCATTCAAAGGTGATCAAACTGGCGAAAACTAAAACACTGACAAATATTAAAATATAAACAAATTTCAAATCCGAATGTGTTATTGCCAAATTATTCCTTGATGACGTTATCGGGGTGGTTTGTTTGGGCGTGAAGTTAAAATTCAAGTGCTGGCTACGACTCAAATATGTGGGACAGAAAGGCGCGCGTCTAAACATAGCATAGTGTGCTAAATTACTCATACTGTGGGTAGGAATTTGTGGAATTTTTAGAATTCTTTCTTAAGTGTTACACCTCAAAAGGACACTGTTGATTTTGCTAGGAAACAAAACAGCAAAGCATCCGCACGAAGCCATCACAGAGACTTGATACCGTCAAACTCTGGAAAATGTTCGTGCCCACTGATGTTGACCGTCATGACTCACGCGGTCGCAAGGCGAGCCGGAGAGGCGGCCCAAATCTTGTCATTGATTTAGCGTGATGGTGAATGAAAACAAAAAATACTATAACATGCATGGTTTTATGTGACAGTCATTCGTGGCACGGTGTATTTGCTGCTCTTTTCAATGTATCTCCCTGGTTATCAACATACTCCGTTGCTATAGCGATCAAAAGGTAATGGCGACGGTTTGCGTAGACATAACTTGAGTAGCGCGTCTCCTTCAAGTTGACGTCAGAGAGTGAGTGACTTACGTAAAACACGCCATATTTGCTCAAATATGGACAAAAAGAGATTGTCGACATTAAAAATAAATGAAAACTGTTTGCATAAACTATTTCTTATGTGAGCAGACAGACATCGCCTCCACAACCTGCTAAGTGACGTCACTGTGTTTGGGCTCAACCGGGTATAAAGGTCAG